ACACGAAACAAAAATATATGCAACAGGACTCGGGATAACATTAGTGTTAAACATACGACTCAGCAAGCAGCTGAATTCTCATATTTGACAGCTTCTTCTCATAAAAGAAAAAACAAAACAAAAACCAACCTAAAGTGGAGTCCTCCAAAGGATAATTTTTACAAGTTAAACACAAATGAAGCACACTCAGCCACAATTGATGGTATTGGAGGGATAATTAGAATCCAACGCTGAATGGATATTAGGTTTCTCAGGAACTGTCCCAAGGGACACATCCATCTCTGCAGAATTATACGCATTGATTCATGGGCTCAAATTGGCATACGAGTACAATCTATTGCCAATGGAGGTGGAGGTGGATGCAAGGGAAATTATCACAATGTTACAATCAGATGATATTTCATGTGCTAACATGATAAATGATTGTAGGTACCTCCTGGGCCAACTAGGTAAGCCAATAGTTTATCATGCGTATAGAGAACAAAATAGAGTAGCGGATCAACTGACAAAGGCAGACCATAATTTTGGAAACAACTATATGCCAAGCATTTTTGAAAATCTACCAGTTTTTGTTGCAAAAGTTTTTGGAGAAGACAGGGATAGTATAATAGCTCCTCCAACATGTCAAGGGAATGTTTGGCAAAAAATGGCAGCTGCGCTCTCAATCAGCCACCTTCGACTATGAACTGTTGTTGTGATGATAGTTCCACTAGGAATACCATGAACAACATAAATGTTAGTAGTAATTTAGTACCTAGTAATAGTATAATACTTTGTAATAGGGTGCTACCTATGCACCACCCCTCTGTACGCATCGCTTAATTAACATGTATATATATATATATATATATATATATATATATATATATATATATATATATATATATATATATTAGACCAAAAAAAGGACATTAATTACATTAAATTTAACTGTTCCGGTTCAATATGTTTTAAAAATAATATTATAAGTGAATTTTTTCCCAACTTTGTTTGCAAATTAATAGACTCGGTTTTATCTCAAATGATACTAATTTTTTATAAATAAAAAACTACTGCAATGCAATTTAATTCAATTAGAAAATTGAATTAAATTATAATTAATCTATATTATTATAAAAGCATGAATAAAATATTGGATTACAAAAATAACCTTTTAATATTAAGCATAATAACTCAGAATAAAAGGACGTAATTGAAATTCTAGACATTAGCCTTGTAATCCTATTAGTTTTAGGACATAATACTACAAGTTATAAATCCTACATAATTACCTTTAGAATCCTATTATCCTTCAAATATTTTCAAATCTGTTGGATAGAATTGTCAAATTTATGACTTTCCAAAAATTTAGACATTGATTTCAATTAAAACTTCGTGGAATTTTTTTAACTTTTAACCACTCAAGTAGATTCCCATAAGAATTTAAAACAAATTCAATTATTCCTATAAGAATTAGAAGCAAGAACGAGACTTTAATTTATTAGGTGTGGGAGTTCTTTTTCAATTGAAGCTATCAATAGTAATAATATAAAAATAGAAAAATAAGTATTAAAAAGATTTATTAGTTTCGGAGATAGATATATAATACCACATGTTAGCATGTAAACCTAATACCTTTTAGGAACATGTTAGATTTCTATTAGTTATAATTACTTCCGAATATGGACATATTTTAGCCATGTAATTCTATTACTTTTAGAATGTACTTCTTATTATTATAAAAACACGATAGACCAAAAACAGCCCTAAATATTAAACAGAAGAACTCATAGGAAAAAGACATAACTGTAATAAACTTTTTTTTTGGACTACAACAATTCTATGTTAATTTTTAATATTTAATATTTTTCCTCCATATTGGTAATACATTACCGTTCTATCCAATACCAAAAAATAAATAAAAGTAATATTAAACGTACTGCATAAAGCGTTGAGACTGAGAAGAAAAAACTCTCACGATAATATATTATTATATTATGTTTGAACTGCTTTCCTACTTAAATATATTTTGATTATTAATTTTTCATGTAATATTAAAAATATACCCAATTATTAAAGAACAACTAAGAAAGTTTTTTAAGACCGTACATGTGTGAGAAGAGAAAAGAAAATGTTGGAGAGTCAATACCATTAATGATTTTGCAAACATAAAGATCTAAAAGTGTAATGTCAAATCGATCTTTGTACTCTTAGAAAATAAATTTATGGTAGATAAAATTATAATTACGGGTAATTTTTTACATGAGATGAACTATTAGGAATCTGAATCAACAGAAATAAATTATTTTATGTTAAAAATAAATAATCAAATCTTATAATTAATTATTTAGCAAGAGAATCCAACTAAATTATTTTTTTAATTCATCATATGAGTACAATTATTTTTTCAAGTTAAAGAAAATCTTATGGTACATAAATTTATTCCATGAAAAGAGTTTTAGAAATTAAAAAATTAGATCACAGAGAGTTAAAAAAGATAGTATAATATTAAGAAGGCCATACAAGTGTTTGAGAATAAGCAAAATCCTGAACAAGAATAAGCTTTCAAGACTATATTATAAAAAGTTGACTATGCTATAGCGGGATTATCCTTTGTAGATTCTCCGGTGGAATCAAAATAATATTCATATATCATGCATTACTTGCAAGTGTCAGATCAAGAGGCATGCTATTGTTAGCAATTAGAACAAATGGTGCACCATTAACAATTTTATTACTAGGTCGTACAACTCACTTTAGATTTGATATACCTCTTCAAATAACTGAAATAACCGTCACAAATATATCCAAAGAAGAGAAATAGTGCTAATTTATAAGGAAATCAAAAGTGATAATATGGGACGAAGCATTTTTGGCTAAGCGTTCAAACGTCGAAACATTTGCCTAGAGTTTTAGAGATATATTGGATATAAATGAACTGTTTGGTGGAAAAGTAATAGTTTGAGAGGTGATTTTTGTCAAGTACTATAAGTAGTTGCAAAATTGACGAAAGCAGAAAGTGTAAAAGCTTGCTTGCCAAAATTATACTTACGGCCTCAAATGAAAAATATTCAAATGACAAGAAATATAAACATAAAAACAGATCCAACATTTGTCGGAACCGAAGAAGTGCATCCAATAAAAGATGATTTGATTCTTCTAGAACACTTGGTTATCAACCTAACGGTAATAAGTATGCATTTAATAAGGAATAATGTCCATCATTAGATTAAAACGCAATTTGTGCAAATTACATGATAGAAATTAAAAAGCTATCTTAGCTAGCAAAAATGAATATATTCATAAACTAAAAAAAAGGTTGATTGCTAAGTTTTATGGTAAAAGCAAATATATTTTCAGTTTACTCGCAAAGTACTATAATTACTACCAAGAAGATACTTAATGACTTATACCAACGGCCGTCTACGTACATGTTTTTGTCAAGTTCATTATTTCTTACGTATGTTAGTGTCACCATATATATATATTAGACTAAGTTAAAATTGATCTTCCATTGCATATAGGTTGATTTTGAAGAAAAATATGTCCGTTCTGCTACTAAAAACTTAGATCTGGTGAATAACTTATGTAATACACATATGGTATATAGAAGTTTTGACAATAACGTCATACATGCAGAACTTATGATAATGTCTATGTGCTTCTAAGTATGTGTTTATCCCGAATTCAACTTTCAGCTTCCGAAACTAAAGAATATCCTTTTAAATTTGTGTGAAAATAATTTTTAGTATGTTTATGTTTTGTAGTTATTTAAATAAGGACAAGGACAAACATCCTAAATATTGGACTATATTTACAATAATATATTTTATTCCACGAATAACTATATGTTGCACTTTCAAGAGAGATATCAACATCGACAAAAACAATGCTGGTTATGGCAGAGCAACCAAAGTATTAGAAGGAAACATACACAAAAAAAACATCGTCTATAAAAAAATATTCGGTAAGATACCATCACATTAGATAGCTTTAAGCTACAATACATAATTTTCTACTAAATATGACTAAAATTGATTATTTGTGTAAGTTGTGATGATATCCTTTAATTTTGAATGCACATATTATACTAATGTAACAATATTTTTTGGCATTTAGATAATTTCTGTATTATTATATATAAAATTCTTTCATTAATTAAATTTTATTGTTCCTTCATATAAATAAATATTTAAACAATCATGTGCCATTATAAACGTGTAACGCACGTTTATAAATAAACTTCCACATCGTACAAGTTGATTTTGAAGCAAAATAAATTCATCGTATTGTTAAGAAACTTAGATATGTCAAATAGTTTATGTAATAGTATAAGAATAATATGTAGAAATTTTCACAACAATGTTATACATGCAGAAATTCTAATAGGTCAATGTACTTTCAAGCATGCGTTCATCCCCAGAATTCAGCTTTCGCCTCTTGAAAATGAAGAATATCCTTTCAAATTTATCGAAAAATAATTTCAGTACACTTGTGTTTTGCAATGGCAAGGGGGAACAATTTCAAATATTGAACTGCATCTGCCACAACATATTTTTTTTCGCACGGACAATTATATTACTGCATATTTAAAAGGAATATCAATATTTACAACAAACTATAAGTATATAATAATATTATCTTACTAACATGACTAAATTGATCGTTTTTGCAGGTTCAGATAACGATGGCCAATCATTTTGAATTTACGTCTTATGCTAATGTAATGATATTTTTCGACATTTAAATAACCGTTGTATTCTATATAATTCTCTGATTACTTAAATTTCATGTTCTTTCATAAAAGAATTGCCAAAATCATTAGGTACAACTTTTAACGTGCAACGCACGTTCATAGAAACTAGTATAAAAGAAAAGGACCTTTATTTTTTCAAATAATCTTTATCTTATCCAATGTTATCATTTAATAGAAATTATACCCAAAAAACAAAGAATAAACTAAAAGTAAATCTAAACCCGACCCGGAGCAAAATATAAATGGAGCAGAGGTGCGTGTTATACTCGGCTCTTCCCTCACAAACCCGATTAGCAAAAATCTCCCCGCCGCAATGGGTTCATCCGGCAACCGTAGCAAGAAGAAATCGTCCAAGTCCGGCCGACGATATCCCGACGATTCTGAATCCCCTGCCACAGACTCCGATTCAATTTCTCATTCCGACTCTGATTCATCTCCGCCGAGTAGCAGTCGCCACCGCCGAAGCAAAAGCCGAAGTCACAGCCGCAGATCGAGAACTCATGAATATTCCGATGAAGAGAGCAGCGACGACGAGCGAAAGAAGAAGAAGAGGAAAATCACTGAAGAAGAAATCGCTTTATATATGGCTAAGAAAGCACAGAAGAAGGCTATGAAAGTAGCGAAGAAGTTGAAACAACAGACAGTTTCTGGTTATTCAAATGATTCAAATCCATTCGGAGATTCAAATCTGAACGAGAAATTCGTGTGGAGGAAGAAAATCGAACGAGACGTCACACGTGGTGTGCCGCTGGATACCTTCTCGATGAAGGCAGAGAAGCAAAGGCAGAAAGAACGAATGGCCGAAATTGAAAAGGTTAAAAAAAGGAGAGAAGAACGAGCAATGGAGAAAGCCCAACGCGAAGAGGAATTACAGTTGTTAGCTAGAGAACGGGCCCGGGCCGAGTTTCAGGACTGGGAGAAGAAGGAAGAAGAGTTTCATTTTGATCAGAGTAAAGTTCGGACTGAAATTCGCCTCCGTCAGGGTCGGGTTAAGCCCATTGATGTTCTTATAAAGCAGTTAGAACCTTCTGGAGATTTTGATGTGGAAATAGATGAACCTTATGTTGTGTTTAAAGGTTTAGGTATAAAAGAAATGGAAGAACTTGAGGAGGATATAAAATTGCATATCGATTTAGATAGGGAAACGCCGATGCATATACAGTATTGGGAGGCACTTTTGGTGGTGTGTAATTGGGAATTAGCTGAAGCTAGGAAAAAGGAAGCTATGGATAAAGCGCGAGTGCGCGGAGAGGAATTACCACCTGAATTGCTTGCAGAAGAGAGGGGGTTGCATTCGAGTATCGAAGCAGATGTTAAGTCTTTGTTACAAGGTAAAGGGTATGGTGAGTTAGAGGCGATGCAGTCACAGATTGAGTCGCAAATGCGATCTGGTACTGCTAAGGTTGTAGAGTACTGGGAAACTGTTCTTAAGCGGCTTCAGATTTTTAAGGCAAAGGCTTGTTTGAGGGAAATTCACGCGAAAATGCTGCGCAAACATCTTGAGCATCTTGAGAAACCATTGGAGAGTCGCGATGTAGAGGTGGAAGAAGAGACATTGAGGACTAATGAGGAAGATATGGAGCATGATCAAGACGAGGTTAGAGCTATGTCTCCGGAGCCCTTCTTGAATGAGGAGGCTAAGGAGAAGGAGAAGGAGAAGGAGAAGGAGAAGGAGGTGGAGGAAGAGGAAGAAGATGATGATGAAGAGGCGGGTTCTTATTCGCCTGTGTTAATGCACGGTGATGACAAGGAAGAAGCAGTTGATCCTGAAGAAGACAGGGCAATACTTGAGAGGAAACGTATGGCTGTTTTGGAAGAGAGACGTGCACAAGATAAGGTTTTGACACCAACTCCCGCAGAAGACAACAACTTTGAGAAGAAAGCATTTAAATCTATGGGAGTGATGGAGGAAGGGGATGCAGTATTTGGCTCAAACGACGAAATTAATCTTGATTCACAGGTGTACTGGTGGCACGACAAGTATAGGCCGAGGAAGCCGAAGTATTTCAACCGTGTTCACACTGGTTATGAATGGAACAAGTATAATCAAACTCATTATGATCACGATAACCCCCCTCCTAAGATTGTGCAGGGATACAAATTCAATATCTTTTATCCTGATCTCGTTGACAAAGCAAAAGCTCCAACTTATGTCATAGAGAAAGATGGAGATAGTGCCGATACTTGCATCATAAAGTTCCACGCTGGCCCTCCTTATGAGGATATAGCTTTTCGAATTGTTAACAGGGAATGGGAGTACTCTCATAAAAAGGGGTTCAAGTGCATATTCGATCGAGGAATTCTGCATCTGTATTTTAACTTCAAGCGTCACAGATACCGTCGTTGATGGGCTTCAAGAAGTAAACAGTTTGTTGCAAGGTTCAGCTTTATGAATTTCTTGTTTTTGTACTTTTTAGGCCAGTTTATATGCGATTTGATTCATGAAGAATTTTGTAAACTGGCCATAATACGTGTAATCCAAAGCTGAGGGCTCTTCTGATTAACTTATGCTAATAGTAAGTGAAGTCACTGTTACCTGGCAACCTTATAAGGTTAGCCCTTTCAGTCTTCCTCATGTTTCTTTGCATGCACTGTAACTTACATTAAGCTAATGATTTCTATTTCCTCCAATAGTTTGAGCTGCATCTGGTAATTTAAGAGAGATATGAATGTCTTGTTGGAGATAAACTATCAGAATTTACAATTGCTTAGACCCTTTATTTTGGCATTGAAATGTTTAAAGAATAGGTATTTATAATGTGGTGTTTCATATTGAGTTAACAGTGTTTGCACGAATTGCAGTAAGATGCGCATAAATCTAACGGAGAACCTTCATGGGATATCTGCAAAATAGAGCAGCCTATGGAGATTCCAAAGGTAATTCTATTTTATAGTTCCCAGGTTGAATTGTGCTTTTGATATGTCTAAGTGCCCCTTTAAAGATGGATCATTCGTACTTGATTGTTTCCTTGAAGGTCTATGTTCCTTGAATAGGAAAAGCAGCAAGTCTTATGCCTTCATTTTTCGTTATTTGGTTGTGCATCTGAACATTCAATCTCTCTAAATTTTCAATTTTCAAAACCCTAAATTAATATGATTTTCAAACTCAAATTTGAAATCCTATTTTTCAAACCGCAGTTTCACCGTAAATACTGGTTATTTATTACAGCTTAACCACGGTCGAACAGGGTGAAAATTCCAGACTATCTACTCTCTCTAAAAATCCCAGTTTTTAAGCTCTCTCAATCCTTGTATGGTTTGATCTTGTTTAAGGAGGAGTAAATCTGAAACGGCCTCTCTCTGAGCCCAGATCAATGCTTTGAAGTAGGTTAGATCTAAACCTCTATATTTCTGCTTTTGTTCATTTACAGTTAACCCTATTTGCCATGTTATAGTTGAATTTTGGGTACTGATTGAAGGCTCTGTATTTGATATAGCATATTAGAAATCATGTTCTGTTTGATCGCATGTTAGAAATCATGTTCTTTAGGGAAGTTACTATGTTGGCTGTGTATTAATAAAACACGTGAATGACAAATGTTTGTCAAAATGTTTATGCATGATTGGGATCCGTTAATGGTAGATGTTGTGAAAATAAACATTGGTCATGCTTCTTTTTGATGAAGCCTAAATGCCAGTCACAATCTTTGTTGCCTTAGAGTTCATGCTACTTAGGTTCTTTTTTTGTGAATCTTAAGAAATCTCATAACAATGACTGCCAATGAATGTCCTTATTCTGATTATATGTCTTATGCTTGAAAATTGTCTTAGAGAGCATATATCTAGTCCCTTCTTTTCTTAATGCAGAAATGATGACTGTTTATCTATGGACGGCGTTAGGCACGTCTTATGTGATACTGTAGAAACTGAGATTAGTTTCATTCAAAATTTGGTAATCAAACCAACAGGATAGTTATTTATCTGTTTGATGTGTGTTGATACACATAATTTTCCATGTTTGTCAAAAGCCTACTCTAGAAAGTTTACGGCTAAAGCATGATTAGGCTATTTTCTATGGTCAGTAAAGTCTGTAAAAATCAGAATGCTTGTTGATATCTTGAATAGACTTTCTGGACTGGATAATATTATTCTGTTTAGATCATAAATTAGAAATTTCAGCACTCTACCATTAGCTCGATCGAGTGTTCTGAAGTGCTATTTACGTGGTGAGATTTGGACTAGATTTATTTCATTATCCCTTAGGATCCATGTCTTTAGGAATTATTCCATCTGTTCTCAGTTTGAATATATATTGGTTTGATGGAGCATGTGGAGGCTTTTAAGTCAGGTTTTAGGCTTAAAGTTTGCTGTTAGAACCTACATGTTTATTGTGAAAATAAAAGCCTCCTTTATTCTTTTTCTTGAATATTTAGAAGATTATTTGTTAATGTTAATTAGTAATTTAAAACAAGTTTGTGAGTTATGTCCCAAATTTTATTTAAGCAAGTAGCTTACTCCCCCGAGCGTTACAATGTTAAATGACTATAATATGTTAAGGTGGACTTTCTGGAAATGTGTTACAAGTATTATATACCTTTATTATTTTTTCTATCATTGAACCTATTGTGTGATTTTCATACAGACTGTGTGTTTCAGATTACCTAACCTTCTTGCCTCTTTCCTTTTCTGTTTTCTTGCTTGTACACTTTGGGAGCAAAACTGTGAATGACCCAAAAGTTCATCACTTGTTTTAGAAACAAATTCAGTGTTCCGAGGCCTAAAAACCTCCTCTTTACCTCACCTCGACTTGCGTGCGTGGTCCGGACCTATATCCGGAAAGCCTTCTATGTGAAAATATGAGAAATAGAAATTTCTAGAGTTAAAATTTGATTATGGTTGACTTTGGTCAACATTTTTAGCAGGCGGATCCGGATCCGTGTTCCGACGATCCCGGGAGGTCCGCAGTAAAATATGGGACTTGGGCGTATGCCCGGAAATGAATTCCGAGGTCCCAAGCCTTAGAAATCAATTTTTGAAAGAAATTGTTTTGCTGAATTATCTAAGAAATGAAGAAGAGAATTAATGTTTGAAACCATTGGTATAGGGCCCGTATTTTGGTTCCGGAGCCCGGTACAAACTTGTTATAAGATTTAAATGATAGCTGTGAAATTTGGTGAAAAATGGAGTTTATTTGACGTGAATTGGACTTCCAGTTGAAGAGTTATGAACTTTAAGTGTTCTTGATGAAAATGATGAGCTTTGAGGTTTAATTCATGGATTTACATGTTATTTTGATGATGTGATCGCACGAGTAGGTCCATATGATGTTTTTGAGTTAGTATGAATATTTGGTTTGGAGTCCTGAGGGCTCGGGTGAGTTTCGGATAGGTTCCGAGATGTTTTAGACTTAAAAATATAGCTGTTGTAGGTTCAGAGAAGTTGCAGATCTCTGAACCCGCGAGTGCGGTCCGCAATGATTTTGTGCTACTGCAGAGGGGCCTTTGCGGCCGCAAAAGATTTCGTGCGGTCCGCGGTGGGGACTTTGCGGCCGCACTCGATTTTGTGCGGTCCGCGGTGAGGAAGAATTCGCAGGTTCACTGGTCTGACTTCGGAAGTCTATATCTTTTGATCTGCAAGGAATTTTGAGATGATTCAAAAACGAAAGTTGTAGCCCTTCGTGTCTAGTTTCCAGAAAGGTAAAGAAATCACAATTTGGACATCTGTAGAGAAAGTTATGGCCAAAATACTAAAGCATGTCACTGCAGTCTTCGCGGTGAGCTCCGCGGCCGCAATCCTTTTTGTGCGGTCCGCGGAGAGGGTCTTAGAGGGGTATATTTAAACGGGACTTTCAGTTATTTCTTATTTTTCAAAACCCCAAAAACGTAAGAGGCGATTTTCCAAACACATTTTCTTCTTCAAAACATTAGTAAGTAATTTCTAACTCATTTTCTTTACTCCTTAACTTCTTTTTACAAGATTTCATGTAATCACCGTTGCAGGCGTGCAACCCGCTCCCATTTCATATATTACCGTTGCAGGCGTGCAACCCGCTCCCATTTCATATTTCAACACCAATCGTAAAAGAGTCTCAGCAAGGAAACAATAATATAACAACATCCCGGCAAGGGAATAGTAATATAACATCAACATCCCGGCAAGGGAACAGTAATATAACACCAACATCCCTGCAAGGGAACAATAATGATAATCCTAATATGAAGCACGAATAAACCACAACAGAGTCATAGCAATTGCAATACAAGACTCACGGGCATGCTTGACACCGGCGTATAGATACTCGTCACCATGCCTATACGTCGAACTCCACAGTTAACACATAGCAATTAAGGCATAACTCCTAATTCCTCAAGTTAAGGTTAGACCAAACACTTACCTCGATGCCACGAACACAGTTCAAGCCTCAACTATCGCTTTTCCTCTTGATTCCACCACCAACTTGCTTGTATCTAGCCACAAGTTACTTAACTATATCAATAAATGCTAAATGAATCAATTCTAATGCATGGAAATGAGTTTTCTAAAGTTTTTCCCAAAAAGTCAAAAATCGACCCCGGGCCCGCTTTGTCCAAACCCGAAGTTCGGACCAAAACCCGATTACCCATTCACGCCTGCAACGGTATTACATATGTACTTGTCTCTTATTTCCTTATCTTTTGCTGGTAGTTGATTTATGGCGTTCCTTACATTTTTCTACTGTTATTCTGTTGTTACCTGTTACTCCCCGCAGCATGTTTCCCCCGCCCAACTTTAGATGTAATTATCTGCTTCTATTTTCGCTGTATATGATTTAACTGCACAGGTTTATTTGGTAGTCTGGTACTAGCCTCGTCACTACTTCGCCGAGGTTAGGCTAGGCACTTACCAGCACATGGGGTCGGTTGTGCTGATACTACACTCTGCACTCTTTTGTGTAGATCCCAGTGCTGTAGATTTCGGACCGCAGTGAGATTGCCGTTTCTTGTTCGTCAGGCGACCCGAGGTAGTCCTGCAGGCGTCCGCAGGCCTTGGCGTCTCCTTCTATCTACTATTCCTGTTTCTTTCATGTATTTCCAGAGACAATGTTGTATTTATTTCTTTCACGACCTTTATTTGTAGTACTCCTAGACAATCTGTGAAGTTGTGACACCAATCTTGGGTAGATTTGTTATGGATTGGTATTAGCTGTATTATTAAAACTTTACAATGCAGTCTTCCGCTTATTCAATTCCGTTGTTATCTAATTGTTGGCTCTTAACTGTTATCGGATTAAAAATGGAAACAAGGTAAATAGTTCAATTGGTTGGCTTGCCTAGCTTTCACTAGTAGGCGCCATCACGACTCTTGAGGGTGGGAAATTCGGGTCGTGACAAAAATGGAGTCTTTATACAAGACGCACCCTTGCTCTAAACCGCCCTTCTTCAACCTTCTCTTCTGAAATTATCGGGACCGCAAAACCAAAAGAAAAAGAGGAGAAGAAAAGCAGTGGGTGCTTTTTTTTGTTTATCTAGATTACCTGCTTTACATGTTTTATCTGCATCGATTTAATAGGATTTGAAGTATCTAGAAATAACTTGTCTATTATTTGACACACAGGATTTGCCTCTAGTTAATAACTATTTTTAGCTAATGTACAACCTGCTATTTGAATACTTTAGGATATTGCCTAAACCTTGAACCTTTAGTTAATTACTATAACTTTAGACTTAGTTGCTACATGCCCCAATAGTTTGAGCTGCAGTCTGGTAAATTGAGAGAGATATGAATGTCTTGCTGGAGATGAATTAACAATTGCTTAGACCCCCTTTTTGGCATCGGAGTGTTTAAAGACATTTATTGATAATGTGGTGAATAGTATTGGGTCAATAGTGTTTGCAGGAATTTCACTAAGATGCGCATAAATATCTTGGAGAACCTTGATGGAATCTCTGTTAAATAGAGCTGCTTGTGGAGATCCCGCAGTAGGTAACTTTAGTTTTTATAATTCCACAGACTGAACTCCGCTTTTAATATGTCTAATGTGCTCTTTCGAGATGGATTATTCCTACTTGGTTGTTTAATTGAAGGTTGATGTTCGTAAAATAGGAAAAGAACCAAAGTTTTATGCCTTCATTTTCCATATTTGTTGTGCATCTGAACATTCATATGATAACAGCACATTTATACTTTGTATCTCAGGGGAAAAGGAAAAACTAGTTGGGTGCAAGTTAAGAAGCTATAGCGGTACAGCAATAATGATATGCCATGGGATCTCTTGTTTTGAACTAATGTTGGTTCATTGCTATTCTAGAGGCTTGAAAGAGACAGAGAAGGCTGACAAAAGGAACAAGTCTTGACTATTGTTTGTTCCAACCGAAATGCTAACAAGCTACAGACAAGATGATAAACCATTAATATTCACGTAAGTTAGTCTTTCTCTACGAGGAGTATTATAAGTTGCTTTTTACTATTTGATGTATTCTGTACCCTTCTAGAACATGAGATTGCCTCTGGATCTTGAAATTAAGAGTCACTTAGTTGGAAAGGAAAGGGAAAGAATGACACAGCGAATAAATAGCAGTATATAAATTCACCTATTTGCTTGTCCTATTTGTTAAAACCAACAACCCCCAAAGAGCAACGAATAAAAGCTTACATCAACCCTTCCTTTTCTTTCCGACCCCTTTGAGAGAAGCTAGGGAAGGGAAGAAGAGAGAAAAAGTTGGTGAATTGGTTATAGATTGCAATCAACAACAAAAATCCCAGTATTTTCCCACAAGTGAGCCTTACCCCTACCCTAGAAGGGAGAGAGGTTTTTTCCTACGGTAAAGGGTCTGATATGTCCCTCTACTATTGACAATTATTTAAAAATGTCCTTCGTTATACTATCGGGCCATAAAACTCCTTACCGTTACACTATTAAACAAAAATGCTCCTAAACAGACGGAATAGACACGTGGCGTTGATTTTTGAGGCTCAGGGCCATCTGGTTCTTTTTAATAACCCAAATTGGACGGAACCCGCTCCGACCCACATACTTGACATCCAAATTTTGACATTCAAATCCAAATATGGGTTTAACCAGTTCACTATTTTTACCTTTTCCACAACAAACCTAAAAATACTAAGTTACTCATTCATATAAACCCAGATTGTAAAAATTAAATCTTTAAGAGGGATAATTTAGGGAAATTTACCTCAAGATTCGTATGTGTGGTGGTTATGGAAAGATCTTTTTATTGTAATTTCGAGCAGGTTTTCCGGCGTTGTATCTAGCAATTATTAAAATAATTTTTTAGTGTAATTTCTATCAACTATTATTAACACGAGCAAATTTCTAATTAAGGTCATCGTTTTTTATCAATATGAGCAGCTATCTAAAGGTCACAGGAAAAATAAAAACCAACAAGCAGATCTGAGAATTTCCGTGGGACCTGGCTAGGTTCTATTTTCCGGCGAAGTTCAAGAAATGGCAAAACCTCTGATTTTTTTAGATCCAACAAATTGGATAGAAGAAAAAGAAATAAGTAGAAGAAAATTAAGGAAGGCTGTGATGTATTTTTTGTTTTGAAAAAGATAACAAAAGTAAGACAGTGGTGTTTTGGCCAAGATTTGTAGTAGATCTCGCCGGTTTTCATGGTGGATATAAAATGAAGAAGGAAACAGTTAGAGAGTGGTGGTTTTGTAATTTTTCCGGCGAGTTTCATCGGTTCCGTTCGCTTATATGGTGGAATGAGTTTGCTGTTTGGATGATGAAACACGAAGAAAAAGAAGAAGAGAAGGGAGACGAGGGGGGCCAATACAGGAGGAATTTTCCGGTGAGCTGCGATGTTTTCCGATGGTTTTGGTGTGAGGTGAGAGAAGAGAAAGAGGGTCGTGTCTGGTGGGGTTAATTTTAGGGGAGGGGGTTTAGGGTCGGATAACAGAGGTATTGGGTATTTTAAATTGGGGATAGGTCAACTAAATCTGAGAGAGACACGTGTCTATTCCGTCTGTTTAGGGGCATTTTTGTTTAATAGTGTAACGGTAAGGAGTTTTTTGACCTGATAATATAACGAAGGATATTTTTAAACAATTATTATTTTTAGTAGGGGGACATATCAGACCCTTTACCGTTTTTCCTATAGACCCTCGGTTGGAGAACGGATGACAAAAGTAATGGCAACAAGAAGGAATAAAACAATATACAAATATTGAAGTCCATCTCAAACAAAAATTTTCCCATCTCAAAAAAATATAAAAATACTGAAGCCAAGAAAGCAATTAAACTCTTGATAATAAATAATAGCAATATATGAATAAAAGGATATCATACTAACACTAATGGTTATAGATTGCAATGATAAATTTGAACCTAGAATGTGCTATAATAATAAAAACGAAACCCCTTTAACTTTGTTAACAATGGGAAGAAAACTACAAGTAGAAAGAAAGCTGCAATTCATAGCAACTGGGAACTAGCTAGAATGCTTTTCAATTGGTTTCTACTCAACTCGGGACTGACAGGATTGAAGGAACCAATGAAGCCAAATTGGCAGAATTGATTGATGTTTTATTTTCTTAGAAAGCTATAATATAGGTTCTTCTCAATATCCAGAACACCCTCCATGACCTGTGGCGTCTGTATGGCGTCTATGTAACACTACATATCTTCACTGTATTCATCGATCAGATCGACTGGTTGCCCTTCCTCTGCCTTTGTATCCTCATCTAGGAGAATATTTGGGACTCAAAATCCAAACACAGAGTTCTTTGCGTGAGGAGGAACTTTGGCATAATCGGTAAAGTTGCTGCCATGTGATCAGGAGGTCAATGGTTCAAGCCGTGGAAACATCCTCTTGTAGAAATGCAGGGTAAGGCTGCATACAATAGACCCTTGTGGTCCGTCCCTTCCCCGGACCACGCGCATAGCAGGAACTTAGTGCACCGGACTGTCCTTTTAGAATTCTTTGCATGCAATCTTCATAACTGCGGGCTAGTGAGCTCTTTACTACTATGGTTGATTCTTTTATCTAATGATACGTTGCTCATAAGCTCATATACTAGAAGACGCTGAGATTTCTCAGCATAGAATCCAATTAACTGTATGACAAGATGTCAATTGTGTCAATCTCAGTTAGGGGCGGATCTAATTAATAAAATTGGGTTCATCGTGAACTCATGGTCTTTCCAATAAATCAGATATTCCATGTACATAATTCACAGAAATTGTTTAATATTATCTTCTGGTACCCATGCACCAAAAAGAGCTAAGTGGTTCACTGGTTGGATGGTTGGTTTTATTTCCCTAAGGTCAAGGGATTGTATCCCACTTGTACTTTGTTGTTGTGCGATTTTCTTTTTTCTTTATTTCTTCCTTTCAGTTGATTTCCAACACACATTCTACTCAATAATCCTTATTCTCTCTTTCAGCTTTTCTTAATATCTATTAATCTCCTCATCCCAATTTATTCCAATCCCAATCCCAATTCCAATTGCTATTTCTCAAGGTATTTTCTCTTTATCCTTTTTACTTCTTAGTTTTTAATTGCTTTTATCTCAAAGAATTTTGAACTATTAGCATAGTTTCTTAATGAATATTTTAGATATGTCAAATTATTGACTGAACAATAAATTAAACAATAATCAACTTGCTTAAATATTTTGGTTACAATCAAATTATCGAACTTTTGTCTATAATTTTTTTACCGTAGCTTTTAGTTTATTTCTATAAGTAAATCCCATATAAAGAATTAGTCATATATTAATAGTTTTTTGATATTTCCCGTGCTTTTTGCACAAGTTTCAATTTTTATTGTATCAAATTGTCATTAGCAGTCTACTTTACCTCTTTGTTTTAAATATCATGAATGGTAAGAATTAAACGGTTTAAGAAATATATTGTATATCTCTTTGAATGATATTCAAAATTAATAATAAGCTATAAAATCACCAAATGTTCTCACATCGATTGACATTATTGACAAGCACCACATTTACATTAAAGTAGGTGGTGCACTCATAGTTTTAAAATCCTGGATCCGCCTCTGCTTCCAGAATATGAGAACTACATGCCAATTATGACACCACCAACAACAATATACCTAGTATATTCCCATATGTGGCGTCTGGGAGGGTAGTATGTACGTAGATCCTAGGGTAGGCTGTCTACATTACACCTCTTGGGGTGCGGCCCTTCCTCGAATCTTGCGTGAACGCAGGATTCCTTGTGAACCAGGCTGCCCTCTCCCATATTCACATGAATTGAAAGTGAGGCTATAAGTGTTATTGTCCAATGAAATGATAACTAAAGGAATCAGATCTATCCAACCTTATTTGGGTAAATAAATAAGTAATTCACTACTCTATTTCTTATATTAGTCTTAGCATTGGTAATTTGAAGAACGAATCTTCATTGAACAAATAAGATAATGCTCAACAAAAGAAAATACATAAATTTTGCAGTAGTCAAATTTTTATTTTATTTTTTCACCAAAGTACATTCAAACACTTACCTTTAGAGATGGCAATGGGACGGTGCGGGTTTCAGCGTCGGTTTTCAGCGTTTGCGGGGGCGGGGTGGGTTCTAACTTTTAAAAAAAAAAAAAATTATTGAGGGGCAGGTCGCGGGCGGGATTTTAATTTTTTGAACGCTGCTCTCTGCTCATACTTAATGAGATGTACTCCTGCTTTATGGAATTAGTTAGATTCCTTATCACAGATTTGTAAATAATAAAATCTTCTCTATTATTTCTGTCGAAATAAGGAGAGACGAAGAGAACAGATGAGTTCTTTTTCGTTTTTTAGTAACAGGGAAGAGCGAATATTTAACTGCAATACTATATGGTATCAACTTGTTATGATTAAAGTTTAATCAATTTAGTACACTGCATCAGATCTGTAATTTACAGCAATTATCTGTATTTACGGCCTTTGAATAAAGATTTTGTTCCCCAATTCTAAAAAGAAGAATATATAAATTATCCAAAAAGAAGAATATATAAATTATAATGTATTGGAATATGGTTCTTTTGATAATATTCTAAAATTAGAAAAAAATTTAAAAAAATTATGCAGGGCGGATTTGCGCGGGGCGAGGTGGGGTGTTTTAAAAACAACAAATTATACTTTTCGGGGCGCGGCGGATTGAAACCTTCGCGGGTTTGCCCCGCAACCGCCCCACACCGTTTGCCACTAAGGGTCGGATGTATTAGAGATAATACATGTTTAGCTTGGGTATTATTAATATCTTGTTTTGTATATTTTTATGTACTAATATCTTGACACGTGCGTTGCACGTACAAACTTTTTAAAACCATATTAAAGGTTAAAAAGTGCAAGCTCAATTAGCAGAATATGAAATAAATAGTACTGCTATATATGACAACATAATTTGATAAACCAAATATATATTTAGATGATATATATTATAAGAATGTTATATATAGAGACCGATGATTATCTTGTAAAATAAAGTAATAATATGACAGTGAAAATTGATAACCAAGAACATTGATCTGACTTCCTCCTCCTATATTCTAAACAAAAGAGTTAGATCGTTTTTGTTTTCC